ATCCGGCAGTAGACATGATATATTTGAAATAAAGGTAGACAGAAGTTTATTCAGAGAAATTAAGATGGTAAATAGTATGTGTTGAACTCAGGACATAAGGTAGCCAGTATGAAAGAAGAGATAGTAGACCCAACAAATGCCACGCTGATTTATGAGCTTTTCCTATTCCGGAATCCCCAACACCGTAACACCGCTGATATGATGATGATGATATGAATCAAGACAAGGACAGAAGCCCGCATAAATGGTTTGAGAGAAGATCGAGAAGAATGGGAGGAATGAAACGACCCCTTGTCAGGGTCCGGGGGTATCTCAAGCGACAATTAAACGTGATGATGCTTCCATCGAGAATAATGCTGCGGTGCGCTGCTCACAGCACACCGCCGGGCAGATTGATCTGTGCCTGTCGTCCCCCTTCAAAGCCGGCACTATTCGGCGCAGACCCTCCCCCAGAGTACATGCCGCTATCGATGGGATGGACCTGCTTTCGCAACATAAACATGGGCTTGCGTCCTTCCTTTTCGAGCTGTTTGAATAGAATGAGTGGACGTTCCTCGAGCCCAAGACAACGTTCTTGATCACCGTATACAATGTATAGTGCATATTGTTTCCAATCTGCGTTGATATTGTACTTTTTGAGTGCAGCCGGAAGGACCTTGTGGCATGGATCGTCCATCGACACGCGGAAAGACTTGAAGATTTCCACACTAGGGGGATCCTGAGTCGCCCTTGAGTCTGAACGAGTGGGGATGTCGGGGCGCGTAGATTGTGTTGGTGTGGGGTTTAGACGATCCGGCCGCGATTGTGACGCCGCGGTATCGTCGTGGTGGTTATGAGAAACATGGTTTATGCTGCTGGAACTCGGTTGTGTATATGCCCGGGAGGCTAGGGTCTGTGGCGCATATTGATTACCTGGCGAGGTCGGGGACGGAATGCCTGGAGACAATTGCGACTTGCCGTTCAGCATAGTCAAGTGGGAGGAATTCGCGGTGGACGGATCTAGCCCATCGCTGTACATGCGACCCTCGTGGATCGACGGAGGAATATGGGTAGGGGAGTTGGTTTTGGGCGTAGTGCCGCCAGTGTGGTTACGCTTGGAGAACGTCCGAGATAGGATACTTCCAGAACGATCCAACAGAGTGATTCCGGATGGCGATGTGAGCGTCGGCCCATCATGGTATCCTTCCGACCCGGATCCTGGCACAGAAGAAGGCGGGGGCAACGGCTGCGACTTGTCTTTCGCCATCTTGAACACGGGCAGAAGCTCTTCGCGCAGTCGACGATATTCCTCTGCAATCCGTCGCATTTCCGACTCCATAGACATGATACGGTCATCTCGTACGCGGATGGACCGAATCAACCGGGAAATATCGTCCTGAGTGGCGGTTTCGTTCATACTTTGGTCCGCGGCTACCGAAGTAAACACATTAGCAAGACAGATCACAGGCAGTATCTGCAGACCAGGGAAGTCGTGAACATACAAAGCGGAATGTAGTGATCTGCATCAATCGGAATATCTTGCTTGACTTTCGTTTCGTACACGCTCTTCAGAATAGTCAATCGATGTCCCACACTCGCGATCCCCATCTCCTTGAGTTCATCATGCTTCAAAGCAATGAGCGCTTCACCGACGATTTCATTTTCTATTGTAACACAAACACCACGCAGTCAGTGACCCGGAAGTCTTAGCGCCTTTGTTTTGATCCCTTGGACTCACCTAAAAACGCGGCGCAGTATTGACGGAGACCAAGGGCGGCCACAAAGTTGGCACATTCCTCAGCAGTCCATTCAGTGATGATTGTTCGGGGTGATCGGGGATTCTCGTCCACATTGGCTAAGGTCGTGGGAGTATGCTCTGCTGACGGGAATTCTGATTCGGAAGGGGAGGCCTCGGAGTCGGTGGCCAGATGGGGGGAGGTAATCACGCTGCGCTCGTACTCGTCGTCCGCATCCGAGTCGGCATGATAGGAGGTATGGAGAGACATGGCGAATGAATTCATTCAAGTAACGGTGACGACGCCCGGAGACACGTAGAGGAGGGGGGGGGCTGGGGAGGACGTCGGACCGGCTAGCAGACTCAGCGAAGCGCCAGCCTCTAGAGCCGAGACAAGTCGCCAAAGATTGAGCACAAAGGATGGATTCGGTCGCACAGAAGGCGTTGAAGTTGTCAATCACGGACTAACCGACCCGGATGATGAGTGTTGGGAGCCAAACTTGGTCGAGCAGGCGTGCCACATGAACGGGAGGGACGGAAAGCGGGTGAGTTATGAGGACACCGACAGTGAAGATGGTCCGAGGGTGCGAAGCGCGGAGTTGATCAGGAGGAGAGTCGGGAGGACGGAGGTAATTATGAGAGAGAGGATGTGAAAAGAGCTAGTGGAGAGGAAGAAGGCGTAAAGACGAGGTGGTAGAAGGTACGAGGAAGCATGGAAAGCAGCCGTGATGGAAGAGGAGCGGAGGGGGGGATCCTGAGGCCAACAAGGCATGCAGCGACAGCGAGAGCGGGGAAGCTCGGCCAACTTCTGGGGGTCCAACCGGATGATGAGATGGGCCAAAAGGGAGAAGATGATGATGATGAACACCCTTGTTGTTAATAACTGGTTGGGCGATAATAATGTGAGATCAAAGACCACGAGGCAGAGCGACCGATGAACTGGGGTGATCAAAAAGAAGAAAGGGTGGACATCCACAGGCAGATGAGATGAGAGGCAGCCGATGGACGAGAGCAACAGAACAAGAAGCTGGTTGGGCGCGGAGTCCAACGAACCGCCGAACGGGAAAACCAAGAGGCGCTTCTAAAGTTGGATCGCCACACGTGATGCCGGTCTGGACTCTCCGCTGCTCACTTTCCTTGTACATCCATTCTAATTCTACACAGACAGTTCAGGCATCTCCATTTTATCATCATCATCCCAGTGGGTTAAGTCAATATCCTTGGTCTTACCATATGATGGGGATCCATGGCATCTACGGAATCTACTGTCGGCCGTTTATCGGCTCAGTCCGACCCCCTCTCCAGTAACTGGCTCCGTTAATGGATCCCTCATCCTTGCTTCGTTCCCAGCCCAGATGCCGGGCAAAATCACTTGGTGACGCATCTCGCAGACAACGGACGGATAGTCCACCCAGAAAAAAATTCAGGGTTGAAGAAAATTAATTAAAAAAGGAGAGCCATCGCCGGATCCAAGCGCCAAACAATTGCTCCAAGCAGAAAACTGAAAACTGAGATGAACAAATGGTGGAAACGGGGCCCCATCCCCTGGCTGAAGTTCCGTGCGATTAATGAGGACACTAACGAAGCGCCCATCCTAGTGACCAGCACTATTATCACACAAATGCTACTAGTGTCGATGACTCGATGGGGGTTCATGCAAACCAGAAGCATCGCCCGGCAGGCTTAACGGCCAGTGGACAGAGGGGGGTTGGTTATGCCCACTATTATTCAAGCCAGGCGCTGTCAAAATTCAATAGTGCCGGAGCCTCGACGTTTTCGGATGCTATCTGGGTCCGAATCCTCCGCTGTCATCGTGCCATTCGTTCCCCATCTCGACGCTGAATTGTCGATGAATGTCCATGCAAGGACATCCATGGCTCCATCAGAAAAAAACTCTTTTCCACTCGTCTCCATCAACTTCCTCCCCTTGCCCCTTTTTTCTAGCATTTTTTACCTCCAATGCACTCGAGCTTGGATGGCCGGTGCTATATTTAACTTTCCTCGGATACTATCGCCGAAGGGCTTTGTCTCCGTGTGCCTGACTCTCCGGAGAAGTCTATTTGCACCATCGATATCCCCACCACAGCTAGTAGATACTAGATAGAGCTTACGTATAGTCGACGAGGGTCCTATGTGTAGGAGTCAACAACAATATTTCGACAGCAGATCGTAGACAACGGCCGAGTCTAAAGTCTTGACCACCGAATTTCATCCGTTGCAGCTGAGAACAATCCATTCGAACGGGTTCAATAACTGTGGAGCAGCCGGAGCAACACAGCACGCTTGTGTTCTACTATTGAGCCGCCACTATTGAGGCGGCAGTATAACACACACAATCTATAACTTGAATAGTATCTACTCACCAACTCAGGAGATTTTCCATCGGCCACGCCGATCACATCAGCTAGTCAGAGAAATATCCGATCCCCATTAACAGCAAAATATCGCACGCATGAGCAAAAAACCAGCACTCTGCTATATTCCTCACCCCCTCACCGTGCGCTGTCCACATGAATCAAGGAAGCACCTACTAGTAAGCGCCCGGATCTGGTCCATCCTGCATTGCATGTGGACAACGGAACAACGGAACGATACCTGCCTTACCTCGTACATCTTATCAACATCCCTCCCTCGCTGGCGAAGCCAGTACTAATAACCAGCCATCCCGCAATCATGTGTCTTTTTTTTTTTAATGCGGTTGTGACACCTCAATCCCTGGCATCTCGCAGCAAAAAACCTTACACGAACATGTGGGTGTGTGAGCCAGCCAGCCATCGTTCATGCCTGCCTCCCTTGTTGCTTACATGCAGCAAGTACATAATGGGAGGGAGAGTATTTGTGCCTCGAGGGTAGTGGAGCCCCATGTATGTCTACGTAAGTTTCGTATAATATGTAGTAGTATATGTATACCCATACCCACACCGGCGCAATGATTGCATCTTGGTCAATGTCCATTCGATGCGCCAACCGCCGCTGGATGCTATTTATATCAGATGTACCCTGAATAGCCATGTTCAAAATACGCCCCCGCGTTCTCTCGCGCGCGCCTATTCACGCCTATAGTAGATAAATACATACGGGAGGAGACGCAGTGCGGTGTGATGCGATGTGATGCGATGCCAGGCGGCTAACCTTCCCTAAGAATATCCGTTGGCTTTTTGTGACCGGAATTATCAAGGGCGTGGCAAACTTCCTGCATTGTGAGGAATCCTTCACGGGACCAGCATCGCTTGATGATATCCCCAAGAAACAATGGGTTCGTATTTGGGAGTTTGTCGTCGGTCGGTCAGGTTATATATGTCTTTGACACTGGATCATCGTCTAGGTCAGTCTCGATGTCAGGTATAACGTAGAATTCGAACAGATTTCCAGAGATAACTTCGTACATCATCGAGCCGAAGCGCGCAATGTCGGACTTGACTGGAGTGAAGTCTTCAAAAATAAATTCTGCCATGTCCTCATCATCCGCGACAATAGTAGATTCGGTAAAATCGCACATGTGGAGAGAAAGATCCTCGTCAAGCAGGAAATTGCGTGTCGCAATATCGACTACCAATACTCGCCGCTCGTGTACTCGATGGATGATATGTGCAGCTTCTTGGAGCCATTGTAATCGTTGACTGCTGTCCACACTATCTTGATGAGTACGTAGATAGCGGCTCAGTGAACCCTGGCGTAGGTATGGCATTCGACTCGGTGTCGGAGATGTGATAGGGCTTTATCACCTGGGACGTGCCCAAGATGACTATACACATGTCCTTCATGTTTTAGAGATTGCTTGTTTAGCTTATTTGTCTGCTCGTAGCTGATAATCGTCGTCTCGGATGCACCCTTAGGGACAGTCCAAACATTGGCCGTTTTGACTGCGATGTCTCCGAAGCGCATCACGCGTCCAACTCGACCAAGCCCGATCAGCTCGGGACCATCATTATAGCTCATTATGGATGAAGTCAACGAAGATAGTAGTTCTGTGGGTGGTGTCTAATTTGTTGGCTGCAGGAGTTTTGCACATAAGACAGAGCTCCAGCGGTCATGTGCAGCAGCAGCAGCTGAACAGCCTATCATTTGGACTTCACATATTCAATCATACTATTATCTTCAATCCCAGAGCCCTCCAGAAATCACTGACCAGACCTGACCACATTCATATCATGACCTCTCAACATGGTCATTACTATATAGATTCCCGCTAATCAAAAGCGGCAACCCATCTTATCGGCGGTTCCTGCGCTGACCTCCGACGACCGCAAGGCTCGCCTTTCCCCGGACTAGGATTATTCTTCGCCCCCAAGTTTCTCCTCAACTCCTCCCCTTCTTTCTCTGCTTAACACCTCCTCCTGCTCCGCTCCCTATCACATCGCGAACCAGACAGGTAAGATACACAGAAAAATAAAAACCTCCCGCCCCCATGGATACCGCGAAAGCTACCCCAACCCGCGCAATCTTTTCCAGAACCGTAGTTAGTACCCGCTAACCGATCGCGATCGCAGACATCGTACCCACGAGCAAGAGTCGCACGTTACTATCGACTTGGGGTTTTATATATATATACTTTGATACCTGTTGCGCTAGCTCGGACTATTCTATCTCCCTTGTCTGGGTGACCACCGTCTATACAAAACGCAAGCGCTACAACCTAACCTCCATCCCGCTTCGCGCCGCGCCCACCCTACCTACCTACCTATCGTCACATCGCTTCAACCACCACTACACTACACTACACTACACCAACCCCAACTCTCCAATCCCCAAAAACCAACAATGCCCTCCTCCTCCTCCCCCAACCAACCCACCACATCCACCACCACCACCACCACGGACCTCGAATCCGACCTCCTCCAGCACCTAACCAGCACACCCGCACTCGAAGACCTCCACGCCACACTCCTCAGCTCACTCCAACGTCTCGGCTGGACAGAACGGATCCGAAAACTCGCACAGGAACTTCTCCGCGGCGGACGATGCGAGCGATTCGACGAGGTATTCGAAGCGGTAGTAGCGTCCGCGGAGGGGCGGAAACATCCTGTCCTAGCGGAGGCGAATAAAGCGAAACAACAACAAAGCAATGGGAATAATAATAATAATAGTGGTGGGGACGAGGACGGTAGTAGTGGGATTGGGGATCTGGAGGCGTTTGATGTGAGGATTCCGTCGGCGGTGGTGGAGCAGGGGGTTAGGGCGTTGAAGGAGATGTTGAGGGAGGTGGTGGTTGCGGAGGATGGGGGGGATATTTTGGGGGAGGTTGAGAATGGGCATAAGGAGGAGGGTGGGAGTGGGAGTGGTGGTAAGGGGTCGAAGAATAGTAAGGATGGTGGGGGGGATACGGCGAGTCCGGTGAAGAAGGTGAAGAAGGAGTCGAAGTCGGGGAGTAAGGTTAAATGATATGTGGGTGGCTTGTCTGTCTGTCTGTTTGTTGATGTGTGGTGTGGTGTGGTAGTCTGTTTGGTTTCGTGGCTGGCGTGTTGGTATGGTGTTTTGGGTTGGTTCTTCTGGATACTTCTTGTCAGGCTATTGCTTACGGCGTTGCTTTGGTGGCTTACTACGGACGGCGTTGCATTATTCTGATACCAGCATGGACATGTATGCATGCCTCATTCCTTTGTACAACAGTGGGGGTTTGTCTAACAAGACGTGCAATTCATTTACTCTTTAAGCTTAATATTATAGCACTCAGTATGCGAGACAGATATTCGCAATCTCAGAACGTGAAAGGAAAAGAAAAGGAAACTTGTAACCCAATACGAATTTCGACCGGGGCTATATCCCGGCCTCAAAACCCGTCTGTTTCTAAGTAGTAGTAGTGCAGATGGATAACTAACTTGGAAACATGCAACCAATCTAGTCATAGAGGCTGTCGTCATTGCCGGCTTCACCAAACGTGTTGTTGTCCGTCACCTCACCCGCCGACGGGAAGCGGAAGAAGCTGCTGCCACCCGAGTTCTTCAGGCTCTGGGCAAATGCCTCGTAGCGACGGATCTCCACGTCGCTGACGGAGCGTCTGGCCGACTTCATCGCCTCCTCGAAGTGTGCCCGGGTAAGCTCCGGCACCGGGTCCTCCTCCTCGACCTCCTCGTCCTCCATCTTGATATCCTCGCCCTGAGCCTCACGCTGCTTCTGGCGTTCAATGTCAGCGCCGATAGACTGCTTGATGGCGAGCTTGACAGCACGCTGGGTCACGAAGCCAAGATCAGCACCGGAGAATCCGTGAGTCTTGCTGGCAATGAAGGAAAGGTCGATATCGCCAGCGATAGGGGTCTTGCGGAGCTGGGCCTTGAGGATGCTCTCACGAGAGGCCTGGTCGGGCAGAGGAACGTAGACAAGGGTGTCAAGACGACCAGGACGGACCAGGGCGGCATCGAGCTGCTCGGGTCTGTTCGTAGCACCGATGACGAACACGTTCTTCTTGGAGGTCATACCGTCCATCTCTGTTTGGAAGTTAGCAACTACTCAGGTACATCGAGACAATTAACTTACCAGTCAGGAGCTGGTTGACGACACGGTCAGAAGCACCGCCGGCATCACCGACAGAGCCACCACGAGACTTGGCGATAGAATCCAACTCATCCAGGAAGACAACGCAAGGAGCAGCGGCACGGGCCTTGTCGAAGATATCACGGATGTTGCTCTCGGACTCACCGAACCACATACTCAGCAGCTCAGGACCCTTGACCGAGATGAAGTTGGCAGCACACTCGTTGGCCACGGCCTTGGCAAGCATGGTCTTACCAGTACCGGGAGGACCATAGAACAAAACACCGCGGGAAGGAGAAAGACCAAACTTCTGGAACTTCTCGGGGTGGTCGACAGGGTACTGCACGCTCTCGATGAGCTCGCGCTTGACCTCCTCCAGACCACCGATGTCCTCCCAACGGACGTTGGGCACCTCGACAACGGCAACCTCGCGGAGAGCGGAGGGGTTGGAGACACCGAGGGCGTAACGGAAGTTCTCCATGGTAACACCCAGAGAGTCCAGGACCTCTGCGTCAATGGTGTCCTCGTCGAGGTCAATCAGATCCATCTTCTCACGGATCTGCTGCATGGCGGCCTCCGAGCACAGAGAGGCAAGATCGGAACCGACGTAACCGTGGGTCTCGGCGGCAATGGTCTCCAAATCGACATCATCACCCAACTTCATGTTCTTGGTGTGGATCGAGAGGATCTCCAGACGGCCAGTGGGGTCGGGGATACCGATGTCGACCTCACGATCGAAACGACCGAAACGGCGGAGGGCGGGGTCGATGGAGTTGGGGCGGTTGGTGGCGGCCATGACAACCACGTTGGAGCGGGCCTTCATACCGTCCATCAGGGTCAGAAGCTGAGAGACGACACGGCGCTCGACTTCACCGTTGGTCTTCTCACGCTTAGGGGCGATGGAATCGATTTCATCAATGAAGATGATGGCAGGGGAGTTCTTCTCGGCTTCCTCGAAGGCCTTGCGCAGGTTGGACTCGGATTCACCGGCCATCTTGGACATGATCTCGGGACCGTTGATCAGGAAGAAGAAAGCGCCAGTCTCGTTGGCCACAGCACGAGCCATCAGAGTCTTACCGGTACCCGGAGGACCGTACATGAGGATACCACGGGGAGGCTTGATACCGATGGACTTGAAGAGCTGGGGGTGGCGAAGGGGCAGCTCGACCAATTCACGGATCTGAGCCATCTGCTTCCTGCAGCCGCCGATGTCGTCGTAACCGACCTCGTTGAGGTTGCCCTCCTCATCCTCGCGCTGGATCGGCTCACCCTCGCAGTGGATGATGGTATCTTGGGCGACGATGCCATACTCCGGGGGATCCACCTCAACAACCTTGAATTCCACTTGTCTCATACCACCTCTTACTGTGAACAGGTCTCCCTGTCTCACGGGTCTGTAGGCTTCGCGGAAGTAGGGGGCGAGGTAGACATCGAAAAGGGAGCCAGTGAGGCCCTCAACGGTGTCGGCGATGGGGAGAACGGCAATACGCTTGGCCTGTAGATGAGAACAAGCGAGGTCAGTAAGAAGTCGCCTGGATAACGCCGAGAGCAGTAGAACTCACGTATTTAATGTCGGGGCAGGGGTGGACGGTGATGATATCGCCGTGCTTGACACGCAGGTTATGTCTCACAACGCGGTTGATGCGAGCGCTTCCATCATCGAGATCATCATCGGCCAAAACAATCAAAACGGTGTCCTTGCGCTTCTTGCCCTTGACGAGGACGGTGTCACCCCGGAACAGCTGGAGGGTGTCCATTGTGTTGTTGGAGAGAGCAATAACGGAGTTGTCATCGTTGACGGCATCGGTGACACTAGCACCCAGACAGTCAGTACCCAACCAGTATCCCCGCACCAAGGCCAGAGCTAGCTTACATGAGGGAGTTGGGCTTCTTCTTCTTCTTCAAGATAGCCGTCGAGGTGTCGAGTTCCTATTTCGCGATGGTTGTTAGTATTCGCCATCAAGGTCCCTTCCCGTTCTGCAGACAAAAGTCTTTACCTCTTTCTTGTCGGCGCCGGAGGCGTCACTGTGCGATGAGGTTAGCTTCTTGGAACGATGGAGAAGTTGATGCCAGAGGTTCCATCACGTACTGGAGGTTCACCCTCTTCTTGTCGTGGGTGTGATCGGGTTCTGCGCTCATCTTGAGGGGAAGCTGGATAAGGCGCGTAAAGCAACGTAGACACTTGGGTACGTATCAAGGACTGTCGCTGTACCGGATTTGGTGAAGCTCGGCAACAGGGACAAAGAGGAAAATGAAGGGGAATGAGAAAACGAAACAGAGATACAAATCCCACCAGACCGAAAGAGATGGCGGAGGGAGGGAAGTAAATTGACAGGATGAGATGGGATGGCAGAGGGGGAGGGAGTTGGAAGTGAGATCGGAGGATGGCAGAGAGAGAGCTCCAGTTAAGAGGTGACGATAGTGCCAGGCCCTACCGGGGCTTGATGACTTAAGCTGTTGCAGATTCA